CGCATACTTAAACAGTAAACCTACTGTATCGATCACGGGTTCTTAGGTTTATGAGTAGCATCCTGTCACCGTAGACATAATATATATATATATATGTGTGTGTATATATATATATATACATATACAACCTAGTAATTAGTATACCCCAAGACCATAGTCGAATTCTTACGGCCACCGCATTAGAACAAGCAGTTGTGACCTCCTTGTCTGTGTGTCGCACAGCCTCAGGTAAAGTCTTTAGCTCTGCCTACTATTTAACTCGCCCTTGCTATGTGGGAGGCAAAAAACCCTAAAACCTATAAACCCTATAAGCCCTATCAGGTCGAAACCCTCGTTACTACAGTTGACGACCAGGATCTTTACAAGCATCCCCCATCCTCCAAGCATACCAATACTTCCTGCTCTGGGAGATAGGGCCTTAGATGGTATACGGACTTGGGCCGATTTGCAGTCCCCGAACATTACCATTCTGCGATGAGTCCTGTGCTGCGAACTTCAATTGTCTCGCTCTTGCCAGGCCTACCGCCGGTCACTCCAAGTGGTGCACATGCATGGTCCAAGCTGCCCTGGCGATGCCGCAACCCCAAGTTGAAGGGTTAGAGCCTTTCCAGATGGAGAAGGGGGATGGGAGCTTGCCATGCATCGATTGTAGGTCACAGGAAATCCTAAGCTCAGTTTATGAGGAGCATCGTTGCCTGAACTCGTGTGTGGCTTTGCCTTCCTACATTCAAGTACACCCAGGACAACAATCTTTTGCACCCAGAAGATGGTTTCAGAGCTTCAGGTTTTCAAGCAAAGTCTTTAGGATGCATGAAAGGAAAGGTGCAATGGAAACCTTAGCCCTGAAGCCGCAAGATCCAAAGCCCTGAACCCTACAAAACACTAGACTTCACTAGACCCTAAACCCTAAACCCTAAACCTTAAACTGTGTGAGTGTCAAAAAACCTTAAACTGTGAGCTTCCTCTCGTAAAGTCCGACGAAACTCCCTGCGGTGTGACTTTGTCAGCTGGGCGGGTGGGAAAAAACCTTAAACCCTAATCCCACGATCCCAAGACCCCAGGAGCCCTGACCTCTGAATTCACGGTGGCTCGGCACTGCGAAATTTGGGGGCAAACCTGAAACTCGTTTGGGGTGCTCAAGAGGTGCTCGAGCTGGGCAGCTACTACGCGAGGAACTACATGCAGGCTCCCTCGGAGCCTCTTGACGTTTCAACTTGCGAGGGCGTGTTTCTGAAGTTTCAGGTTTTAAGGTTTGAGGTTTATAGGGCTTAGTTCCTCCAGCGGGTGCAGTCCTGTCTTTCTACCGTTCCACACACCGAGTTAGGCCACCATTATCATTAGACTGCCCCCGCAAGGGGTATGTCGGTCTATACTCCAAAACCCCTTCTTGCCAGGAGCCGGAGAAGGAAGGAGGAGTGCTCCGCTCCAATGTGCCACCTGACATGAACTACTTCGCAGGGAGCCCAGCCGTCCTTCTCAGAATCCTGCATAACTGTTGAGTGCGACGAACAGAAGTTGGCAAAACACCGAAATCCAACTGCGAAACCATTGCATCCTTGCCTTTTCCGTGCTGTTTGCTTGCACAGTGAAGCTGAAATGCCAACCATTTCCGGTAGAAGGTCCTGACCACGCATGCGCGTCTGCAGATGTAATTCCCCAGAGGTCCAGTTACAAAAATAGCAGTTACTAACCCTACAATGATGTAATTTAGTACTCCAATGTTTAGGTAACTGCAGCCTTGGGGATTTCGAGTGTTTTACGTTAGGTAAGGAAATCATCCAGGCTTGTGTGTTTGCATTGAGTTCCTGACCCATGTGTGCCTATATCACACAGCTGCAACTTACAAATGACTTGCGCACTTGTTCTTCTGCGACACTTCAGAATACAATGCCCATGTGTGCATGCGCACATATAACCTTTGTGTCTTTGTGTGTGTGTGTGTATATGTGGATGTATGTGTGTATGTATGTATGTATGTATGTATGTATGTATGTATGTATGTATGTGTGTATGTATGCATGTATGTATATATGTATGTATTTGTGTAGAGACATATGTGTACAGTGTACACACGCATGCATAGGATTTGTCTGCGTGTATACAGGGGCGCATATGACTGGATGTTCAAAAGCCTGCTGGATTCGTTCAGTTCCTCGGGATGGAGCAAGCAATCCAGCTATGCGAAATCATGCAAGCATATGTATCAAACATGACTACATGCGCCTGTCGACCGCCCTATATTGCTACTGATGGTGATTTGGAATTGTTGCATGCATGTGTGAGCGTGTCTGTGTGTATGTGTGTTTTTGTTTGTGTGTTTGTTTGTTTCTTTGCTTGTTTGTTTGTCTGTTTGCTTGCTTGTTTGTTTGTTTGTTTGTTTGTTTGTTTGTTTGTGTGTGTGTGTGTCTGTGTCTCTATGTTGCGGTGCGTTTGGTGCACGCGCGCGCTCAGTGCCCTCTTCTTTGGAGTGTCATTGGTGCCCACTCCAAGCTTTTGTGTGCCATGCCTGAACGCGCAGCACAGTGGCAAGACTCTAGTCCAATAAATGCCCAACGGCCGCCTAGAAACTCCATCTACTCTCTATTGGACCCTAAATACCAGCTATTTGGGACCATATACCCCCATTTGAGGGTACAAGGAGTGCTGGTGGGTTCTGCTTAGATCTGCGGGCTCTCGGGGGACTGGGGTTTAACCTTCCTTGTGGCTGAGCGCCGCAGGGGATACCTGAAGCACGTTTGTTTGTATAAAACCTCAAGCCCTAAAGCACACAAAAAAGCCCAGACTAGACCCAGACGCTAGAATCCTAAATTAAATAAGCCATGATTTCCACGATTAGAAGAAGCTGCCTTCGCCGCTCCTTCTGCAATAAAAGTCGACTGTGAAACACACCTTGTTCTAATTGTTATGGCCCGGGTTTTCGTTTGGGTTCTATCGACTTCGTTAGAATCCTCAGGTGCTCATCGTCCTTACTGCGCCGAGCTCATCCAGGGGGGTCTGGAGGATGTGGCTTCCAGTGTTCTTGGGTGGTTTCGGCTTTGGGGCCTCCCATTCCTGTGCCCGACAATCAAACTGACAGGGAGTGTAGCTTAGGTTCCTGGGCTCTTCGAAGGAAGCGCGTGCGAAATAGCTTCTTCTGCACTCCTGGAAATTGGCTTTGTTTCAGTGTGGTGTAGCTTTGGTCCGGTAGTTCGAGGAGCTCTGGGGTGACTAAATCCCCAGAAACCCCAAGGATGGCGACATCGTGAACGAGAAGCGAATCGTCCAGGAGCTAAAGTGCGCCCGGCATCAGCATTTGACGCAGGGCAAAACCGCCTCAACCCTACTAAATCCTAAAAAGCCTAAACCCTAAGCCCGAAACCCTAAACCCCAAGCCCAAATCGAGAAGGGAGCCGAAACCCCAAACCGCAAACCCTAAACCCGGGGCTTAAAAAAGCTACTAATGTAGGAACCTGATTAAGAAACCCTGTCCCCCCTAACCCCAATATGTTAGGATTCATACAAAGAACCCTAATGAAGGCCTAGGGTTTAGGGTTTAGGGTTTAGGGTTTAGGGTTTAGGGTTTAGGTTTCTTAATCAGGTTCCTACATTATCCCAACGCCCCAACACCACTAAATTCTACTTCTACCCCTGCAGAGGGCTATTCGAAAGGGGCGACTTGGGCCTTCTGGTTAAGTGCTACAAGGCCTTTGCAGGAGCTTAAGGCTTGGGGTTTAGGAGTTTAGGGTTTAGGGCTTAGGGTTTAGGGTTGAGGGCTTGGAGGGTTTAAGGGCTCCGTCAGCCACTCTCAGCATGTGTTAGCTTGCTCCTTCGAGCCGCTGCTGCACTAGAGTTGCCTACAGACATGCGTCACTATTGCTTTTGCCAAAAACCAGGTACAGCAGCGTCATACTTATTGCCACATTGTTCTTGCTGTATTCCCGTAGTGCTGTTCCGATTATTTGCTATCGCGTCCATGTCTACGCACGCTTTGAGGATAGTGAGCCCTAAACCTTAAACCGTCTTTACGCTGCACTTTTCGGGTCAGGTCTGAGGGGGTGCCTTCCAAAGCATCTCGATCCCTTGCCCCTGCTCCCTCCCAGATCAAGGGTTCAAGGTTTAAGAATGCATTACAAAGGGCGGTTTAGGGTTTAAGAATGCATTATAAGGGGGCTCGTACATGTTCATTCAGGCTAGCTCTAGGGCCAAACTGTCTGCGGGATGGGTATATGGGCACGAGGGGGCTTATAAGGGAATCTCGAAAAGTCCTCCGCAACCCCTAGGCTCGCAAAATCGTGCAAAACTGCCAAACATGATGTTGAGGCGGAGCCCACCGACACAAACACCCAATGGACATCCCTGAATGATGAGCCAACCCATAAATCTAGAGCATTTTCAGGTGGGTATTGTCCGTTATAGGGGCCTTATAGAAGCCTTATAGAAGCCCTATATACCCTAAACTCCCCGCCTATAGTTTCCTTTACATAATTTTTCACTCAGGAGGCTGAGAGACCGTGAAGTCGCGCCTAAACTTTACAGAAACCCCAATAAACTCTAAACCCTAAACCCTAAACCCTAAACCCTAAACCGTTTAGACCATCAACCCCAGAGCTTCACCAAGTGAGGGCCCCCAGCGAGTCTCCGAGTTGGGCGTTTGGTCCTGGGGCCTCCAGTCGCGGGGGTGTTCTTCTAAGAGTTGTCTAGGGTTTAGGGTTTAGGACTTAGGGTGTAGGGTTTAGGATTTAGGGTTTAGGGTGTAGGGTTTAGGATTTAGGGTTCAGGGTTTAGGGTTTAGGATGTAGCGTTTAAATAGAGCTTAGGATTTAGAGTTTAGGATTTAGGATTTAGGGTTTAGGTTTGCGTTGTTTACTGGGTTTGGAGTTTTAGTGCAGTTCGACCTGGGTCAAGTTTCTATTTCTTGGTTGGATAGAGTTGAGAGCATGTAGACTTTCCACCGTCCTGGCTCGCATCCGGCAGTATGTCAGCTGTGGTTCTGTTGGTTGTAGTTCGAGTTTGACGGACTTCTTTTGGACATTTACCTCCAGCAGGATCATGTGCTAGTGCTAGCGCATTATCCTGAACTGCGTGCTATTCATCAACAAGTTTACGACAAGTTCGGACCAGTGTGCCTTCTCAGTCAGCTTGTCAGTCGCATGCTCAGAAGTTGGGGGCACTGTCACGAGCACTGTGCTGACCGGCGGAAGAGTGGCTACTGTCCAGCCGTTCTTGCATGCAAGCCTTCAGCAAAAGGGTTTTAGTGTTGTGCAGCATTTTTTTGTTATTGATCCCCCTGCTTCCGGGCATTCGAGGTCGTGAAGTGGCTTGATCTAGGTTCAGGCTAAACTTGATCTAGGTTCAGGCTAAACTTCAAACCTAAACCCTAAACCCCAAACCCTAAACCCTAAACCCTAAACCCTAAATCTTAATCATCCAAGACAAACTCCCCGGTGCCAGGAAGATGCAGGTCCGGCCCTCTTGGGGGTGTGTTTCTGGGTGTAGAGTTTATAGGGTTTAGGGTTTAGGGTTTAGGGTTTAGGGTTTAGGGTTTAGGGTTTAGGGTTTAGGGTGTGTTTCTGGGTGTAGGCTTTAGTTTTTCTTGGGTAAGTGTCCTTTGGCTATATACATCCACTCGTAGTGTTTCCGTAGGATTTTCAGACAGGGTTCTAGAGGAAGTGCTAGCGCTGAGTAGGAGTACCTTTCTGTCAGGCTGTGTCCAGGATTTACGGCTTTTGGGTTTGGGGTTTGTGGGCTTTGGCTGAGGGGTTTATGGGTTTAAGACTGCTTCAAGGGCTCAAGGATAAGACGTACGCTGTGTCATAGCTGCGGGGTTTCACAATGGCAATTGACAATTTTCAGCAGAGGGGTCATTCGTACATGGGGGGCCGATGGCTTCGAGTTTGTGGGTGCAGCATGCCGCTTTTCCCATGTAAAACCTTGGTTTCCATTCCCATCCCTACACCTACAACTTTAAACCCTGAACCAGTACACCCGAAACCAGCCAGACCCCTACACCGAAAACCCTGAAACCCAAACACTAGACCCTGAACCCCGAACCCTAAACCCCAAACCCCAAAACATTAGACCCTGAACCCCGAACCCTAAACCCGAAACCCCAAAACACTAGACCCTGAACCCTAAGCCCTAAACCCCAAAACACTAGACCCTGAACCCTAAACCCTAAACCCCAAAACACTAGACCCTGAACCCTAAACCCTAAACCCCAAAACGCTAGACCCTGAACCCGAAGCCCTACCCCCTAAACCCTAAACCCCAAACACTAGACCCTGAACCCTAAACCCGAAACCCCAAAACGCGAGACCCTGAGCCCCGAACCGAGGAGTACCCCATCTCCGTATTCTTCATCGGCATCGGTACGAGCAAGGCGACTCGAAATGTTCCCGACCCTTGGGTGGAAGTTCTTAGTGGCTGAGTAGGTAGGGTTTAGGGTTTAGGGTCTATAAGGTTTAGGGTGTAGGGCTTTGGGTTCAGGGTCTAGGGTGTAAGGTTTACGGTTTAGGGTAGGTAACCTGTAACCTTCTGGGGTTCATATGAGGGTTTAGGGTTCAGGGTAGGTAACCTTTAACCTTTTGGGGTTCATAAAATCTCACCATATTTGAAAAGGCTGACTTTTTCTGGGCTGGCGTAGCTTACCCAAAGGGTCAGAAGTGCCTATGACTTTTTCTGGGCTGGCGTAGCTTACCCAAAGGGTCAGAAGTGCCTATGTGGGGAATGTTTGCCCAACCATAAGAGCATGCCGTTTATAGATACACCACATTCTACTGGGGCTGGTGATATTGATGAGGATGAGGATCAGGATGATGATGATGATGATGATGATGGTGGTGATGGTGCTGATGACGATGATGATGATGCTGCTGCTGATGATGATGGTGATGGCGATGATGATGATGATGATGCTGATGGTGATGATGGTGGTGGTGATGGCGATGATGATGATGATGATGATGATGATGATGATGATGATGATGCAGATGATGGCGGCGCTGCTGGTGGCAATGATAGCGATGCCGAGGCTGATGACGACGATGTTCATGAGAAAGATGATGGCGATAAGAATAAAGGAGACTGCATTACTGATGCTGTCACAAGCTGCTGATGACAATGATCGTCGTGGTGATGGCGATGATGATGGCGAGTGGACAGGGAATGCACGCGAAAAGTGCCTGCTGGCGGATGAAGTTCGATACCTGCTACTCCGTTTGGGACAGACCCTAAACAGTTCTATGTGTGCTACACGTATTCGTGTGATGGTTCAAGTTCTAAAGAACGGTACCGTCGCAATGAACTACTTAACAGACTTTAAGCAGCTTTCAGTACTTCAGGTAGTTACTTGAGCTTGCTACGCCAGGATTTCGATTTCTGGCGTGAACTTCCCAATGCCACGGCCCTCGACTTCGACAGGGACCTGCAGCCTATGGCTTAAGATTTGGGGATTCAGGGGTATCTCTTCTTTCGATCTGGTCAAGTGCTAGACGACCGCGCGGCTGACAGACCTCTGAGTCCGTGAGAGAGAGAGAGAGAGAGAGAGAGAGAGAGGGTTTAGGGTCTACCTCTAGTCTCCATTGTAGTTCCTTTCTGGGGATACCTTCTAAAATCCTTAGTATAAAACTGGATAAACCAAAAAAAGGAACTACAATGGAGACTACAGGTAGGGTTTGAGGGTTTGGGGGTTTTGGGGTTTGTGGGTTTGGGGTTTAGGGGAGGATTTGGGTTCAGGGTTTGGGGTTTGACATGGCTTGGGAGCTCTGCCTTGGGTCTATATTAAGCTCGAGGGTTCAGGACCAAGTATGTATATATATATATATATATGTATTTATGTACATACATAGATACATACATACATCTACATATTAGTATGAACCTTTCCTATGACTCTTATAGCTATTTTTGATGACCGACTGCATGAAACATCTGCAGGCGGGATCCGGGAGTTTTGGGGCTTGAGCCCTAGGGTAAGAGCTTTAAAAGGCTTGGAGCAGAGGGGTCGCTTTTGGGGTTCAGGGTTTGGGGTTTAGAGTTGTTTCCGCATGCCTCCACATCCCGAAGCCTCCAACGTCAAGAGTTCACATATGAAGGGGGCTGGAGGTTGCCTTAATCCTACCGTAACCCGGACCTTATGTTGGAAGAAGCCATGCTTTCACCCCGGGCCTTACGTTGGACAAAAGCCAACCTCTGGGCTTACCTAAACCCTAAACCCCTACACATAGAGTTTCTAAACCCTAAACCCCTAAACCCTTAATCCCCGAAGCCCCTAAACCCCTAAGCCTCGAAACTCCAAAGCCCCTGAACCTCTAAGACTCTAAGCCCCTAAACCCTAAGCCCCTAAACCCCTCGGCCCCCAAACCCTTTCGCGCCAAACCCGCCTCGACATCCCCGAGGATCTGGCCAATCTTTGCATGGGCAGCATGAACCGAAGCTTCTTTGCACCTTGGCCGCAGCCGCTGTAGTTTTCCATGGTACTCGTTAGGTGAAGGGTTTAGGGTATAGGGTTTAGGTATCGTTTGCGATGTAACGAAGCTATAGGATACCCAAAGTGTCATGTTCTAATCGTGAAGGCCACCGTACCAAGAACTTGCATCGGGTGTTCAAGAGCTTGATTCAGTGATGATTGCAGTAGTCTTGGCTGAACCGCATCAAGCCATTCAGCGATTGTGGTGCATGTGCCACGGCACCGCCTGCTGGGGTTTGTACTGTTGGACACTTTACTCAATGGTTAAAGACAAGGGCTGGATCGTATATCTAAGCAGCGAACATCCTTCCAACAGAAGCCGAACCTCCAGTCGTTGTCATTGTTGTAAACTTCTTGATCCTTACCTCGCGAAGCAGCGAAACCTCAAAAACTTCAGCCACCATCGTGCTGCTCAAGAGCTTGCAGAGCTCTTTTGCAAATCTGAAGTTCCTGTTTGAACCATAGTTCGGTAGGATAGGGTTGGCAGATCGGTGGACTGGCTTCTCGAGGGAAACGTTACTCTTGGATTATCTATAAGTACCCTAAACTAGGGTTTAGGGGTTTAGGGTTCATGGCTAAACTAGGCCTTTACCCTCAACCCGAAGCCATAAGCCCAGGGCTGGGGAATCAAGCGTTCATGTGCTAGTGCCATCCGGCCTTCCATATCCGAATCCTTCAGCTCCGACTTATCGTGATCGGACTTCAGCAAGGTTTAGAGTTTAGGGTTTATGGTGTAGCGTTTAGGATGTAGGGTTTGAGGGTTTAGGGGCCTAGGGTTTAGGATTTAGGGTTTAGGATTTAGGACGCAAGCCAACCGCGTCCAGGAACAGATGAAGCAGATGTAGTGGCAGGGGATTCCCAAGATCCCGGCTCGCGTCTATCCGATAAAAGCCCTAAGCCTTAAGTTAAACTGGCCTTTTAAATGGGTGTTTGAGGGATCCTAGTATAGTATCCTAAATAGTAGGATCCTTTTTATAACGGACAACACAAGAAGGAACCCCTTAATTTCGGAAACTCCCAAATCCGATTTACTACAGGTCATTGATGAATAGACAGGCTTTCCACACTGTCGCTTACGCGCCAGTCCACGGCAAATCCTAGACCCGCCAAACCCTAAACCCTAAACCCTAAACCCTAAACCCTAAACCCTAAACCCTAAACCCTAAACCCTAAACCCTAAACCCAAATCCAAAACCCTACGCCCTAAGTCCTAAGGCTCCTGATGCCAACACCCAAAACTCCCCAAATATCAGGGTGGTCCCTGGCAGGAGCTTCTCATTCCCGCCTAGGGCTTTGTGGGTTTTTCAGGTAGGGTTTGGGGGGTTTAGGGGATGCCCCCCCCTGGCGGAGTCGCAGCAGGCCAGCTGCAAAAGGGTTGAGGGTTTGTGGTGTTGGGCGCAAGCCCCAAACCGGAGCTCTTTGTGGGTTTGGGCTTATGGTTCTTGTGCAGGGGCACTTTGGCCCTAGACCATGCGCTCCAGGAACACGTGCCCGAGTTAATGGTCTTCAACATCTCGGCCAACCGCCTGGTGGAACTGCTCCTTGCTCAGCAGCTTTATTGTCGAGCTTTCTACGGGTCTGGGAGTTCATGAGTTCATGAGTCATGGGCTTGAGGTTCAAAGTTCATGTTGTAGGGCCCCAGACTGCCTTGAGACATCGCTAAGCCCACATTGGGATCCGGCTGGTGTTGTCGAAGAGTTTCCCTTTCAGTTCTGAATAGCGGCTGAATGCATACATGAGCTCGGCTGAAATGCCTCTTAGTGTCTGAGTCGCGGCTCTGTCAACCCCAATCCCTGAAACATGTCAACCCCTAAACCCTAAACCCTAAACCCTAAACCCTAAACCCTAAACCACATGTGTTTCATTGAAGCACGATGCCCTAAGACCGAGGACTGTGAACCCAAGCGCGAGACTGCATTAAAGCAGAGGGCTGTAGGTCAGGTAGGCAAGATAGAAACTTATTGGCTGTAAACTCAACT